GCAAGCCAGTGGATGGAAGCCAGCGAGGAGGAGCCGAGGCCGTCAGCCTGTGACTGTGTGGCCAGGGAGGGCCTGGGAACCAGGATGATCACTCTCAACCCGTGTCTTCATTTTATCGCTTTCTCTCATGATGAAGCCACTTGGCAGATACCGGGCTAGGATTTCATTTTTAAAATTGATTTTAAACCATATTGTAGAGCAGCTTTAGGGTAACAGAGAAGGCGGAGAGAAGCCGCGGAGGCCTCTCATTGCCCTCTGCGTCCCTCTGTCCCCAGCGTCCCTCACTGTCAACGTCCTCCTCTCGGCAGCCTGGCTATCGATCACGTGTGAGAGCTGGGTGGCAGCCGCCTTTTGTGAAGCTTGAGGGTCGTCTTCAGCTCCATGAGCAGCAGACCCGTTGTGCCCCGAGGCGGCTGCAGCCTTTGGCATCTCTGTGTGCAGTGGGGGAGAGTTCCGGCCACTCTGCATGTGCCCAGCACCTCAGGGTCCATTGGAGGCCTGTGGTGTCTCGCTGTTGCTGTTTGCATTTCCTGAGGCCGTGTGACACTGGGCATTGTGCTTGCCAGCCCCACGCAGTTTGTAGGGAGGGGTCTGTGATGGTGTCTGGCTGATTTTTAGTGGGGCTGTTTGTTCTGTGAGAGCTGAGTTTTAAGTTCTTTATTGACTTCATTTTTCTTGCCTCTGAACTAGTAGTACTTTTCCTATGTCCCACAAGAAGCTTTCTTTTGGGTTAGATAATATGATACTGAGTTCAGGTTATGTATTTGAAGGTACTATACAGAGATGAGGACTTGTCAAAATTTCTACTATTATTTATGCTCAAAATAAACGTACAGTGGAATGTTCTGAGGTTGTGTATCTGTATTTTCATTGCCCCATGTTTAAAATGTTTCACTAGTTATGAGTGTAGTGTCACCTCTAAGAATTTTTTTATGTTATATTTCTTTGACATTATTTCATTACAGTATTCTGTTCTCCAAAATAGTTTATTCATTTCCAACCATGCTACTTTGAACGTTTGTTAATCTTTTCTAAAAAAAATTTATGTCCATCTGTCATCTATCTGTCCATCCATTTGTTTTAATTTGTTTAATTGTACAGATAAATCCTTTTTATGAATTCAAAAAAGTTGAAATTTGAAGAGCTGTAGAACCACACAATAAAGCTGGAGACCAGCACAATCCAAGGGCAAGTATCCACCCCTGTTACCTTCTTGAAGGAGTAATTCATCCATGTAACTTGCTTTTGGGAGCTGTTTTTTCTTTATCAAAGATTCATGCCTATGCTGTTATTCACCCCAATAACAAGACCAACCAGGAGGAACAGAACAAGTTGCTCCATTACTTTGGAGGTGTAATACGTGTTCCTCCAATTCCTTGCAGTAATTTTCACCTTCTCCATGTAGTACGTGCTTTGCACGGAATAGGTCCTAAATAAATATTGATTCATCAGATCTCAGACACCCCTCTTTTTCTGTCTCACCATGCACAGATGTTAAAAAAAAGTCCTCCAGACAACCATACACAAAGAATCTGAGCTACACAAACCATATATGAAGCTTAGCAAGGTGTGGTATTATAGTGCATTTGGGTCTGTCTGAGAATGCCAGGAAAAGATTAAGAAGATTTTTCTTTTGTTTGGTGGAGCCTTAAATAGTCTATTGCAGTCAATTTTGTGTCCTCACTGCTGTGGATCAGCAGGCCACGTGGTTGCTGCCTTGCTCTGTGTGGAGTCTCTTTGTTAGTCCAAATTCAGCTGATGGCTTTGCTAGAGCAGGGAGGACCCGCCAGGCAACTCTCTTGACTCTGTTTCTGTGGCTGGAAAGCACATTTCTCTTTAAAACTGCAATGCATCTCTTACATATCTTGGTCTCTGAATGTGTCCTCAGGTCAGGGAAGTCGAGATGTTAGGACTGGATCACACCCTAAATATGTGGAGGGCTTGCCACTTTCTGCTCAACCCCTGGACCTCAGGGACACACTGACAGAGGGTGATACTTGCTTTGTGCGGGGCTGGGCCCAGGGGAGTTGATTACTTGGCTGTACCTGCAGAGACAGAGTGAGTTTTAGTGGTGGATTTTTAATACTTTTGAATGTTTGGTAACATCGGGAACGTCGGATTGCTTGCATGAGGAGGGCAGTTGTTTTCCATGCACTTCGCTAAGTCCCGGTGAGCAGGACCCTTTGTGTTCCTGTCAGGAGGGCTCTGGATACCACTTCTTGGTCATGTGACTCATAGCTCCATTCCCCCTCAGGACTTTTGGAGACAGAGGCTTTGGGTGAAAAGGCAGACCAGGGCTTGAGGAATTTTTATTTTTCACTTCAGAAGGCAGCATCTAAGAATCCCTGTACAGTTCGCCTGCTCTGGTGCCGTGGTCCTCCTGGGGTGGGTAAGAGCGAAGGTGGAGCAGGGTTTTGGGCGACTGTTGTGTGATGCAGTGGTCAGCTTTTCATTGCTGTGGCCAAATACCTGGGAAAATCAATTGAAAGGAGGAATGATTGATTTTGGCTCCCGGTTTCAGAGTTCACGTCCATGGTCAGCTGTTGCGGAAGGACCTGGTGGAGGAAAGTTGCTCCATGGCGTCAGGGAAGCAGAGAGTGAAGAACCAAAGAGGCAGAGGCCAGGGACCAGAATCTCCCCGGTCACACTTAGTGACCCACACTCTTCCACCACACCCTGCCTGCTAAAGTGCTATGATATCAGCAAATGATGGATGGTTTAATACACTGGAGTTGACCCCTCATGATCCAGTCACCTGGAAGCCCTCCAATAAATGCATGAGACTTTGGGGGAAAGATTCAAGATCTGAACCCTGAGATATAAAAAGTTAAAGTCATCCTGTTAGAGTGATTCATGCACATGCATGTTTACAGCAGCTCACACAACAGCTAAACCATGGAAATACTGGTGTACTAGAAAAAGTGTGGCACTCACACCCTGGCGTGCCGCTCTGCCGTAAGGAAGGGTAAACTGCAGCCATTCCTGTGAAATTAATGTACCTTCAGACCACAATATTCCGAGAAATAAGTCAGATGCACAAGATTAAATCCTGCATGGTTTCTCTTTGGGTCAGAGAACCAAAGATACAGGTGATTTAAAGAGCAAAATAAAGGAGATCTGCTGAGGAACAGGGAGCTGGACTCTGGAGCTCAGAAGGGCTGTGGAGGGGGGACATGGGAAGAGGGGTAACGCTGATGGCAGTGCAATCCATGATCCATGTGTGTGTCCACCCAGGCTCAGTGTGATCACTGTGTTGCAGACATCTATTGTGAATGGTGGGAAAGAAACCAGTTGACCTTTATGTCGAAAAAGAGGGACAGGGGAAGCTCAGACAGGGTAGCAGTGGCATCCTGGTGGAGCCCTGTGGAGATGTGCTTTGAGGCCAGGTGGGTCGCCGGCCGGTGTGTGCAGGCCAGGACAGCCTGCTCCCTGGCTTTTAGCCCAGCGAGGCTCCCTACGCTCTCTGACTCTGGAGTTGTAAGCCTTTGCTCGTGTTGTTTTCAGTCACCACTGGGGCAGCAGCAGCAGGACATGAACACCAGTCCCTGCCCGCTGGCAGTGAACCTTGCCGCGTGTCCTGCTGTGCTGCGTGACATGTCAGGGACAGCTCTGCTCAGGGTCCCAAACCTGGATAGGATTTGCCATTGCCCTCATTTCCTGTGCTTTAAGCTCTTAGCATGGTTTCACCGTTTTTGCTCCTAAAAGTCAAAACCCTCACTTTGGGGGAACCTGAGAGGACACAGCTGGGGTCCATCTCTACTACAGTTCAGGAATGCTTGCTCCGCCATGCCCTCATGCAGCTGGACACTGCTGCCACTGTCCTGTGGGAGTTTTCCCAATCTCATCATCTCCCCAGCACCTAAGCAGAAAGACACCTTGTGTCAGCCTTCCGAGGGCGTCGTCCATCATGGTGATGTGTTAAGTGTGGGCACAGCCTGGCTCTGAGACCACTTGACAGTGCCCTTTAAACAGGGAACACAGAGGCCCGAACCTCTGTCCTCCATGGAGGGATTGATGGCCCAATCAGTGCTGATGGGACACCCAGCCCCATAAACTCTGGGACCCTGAACACTTTTAAATTAAGAAGATGGAAGTTCCCAGATGAAGAATCCCAGAACTCCTGAATTTATTGTTCCTTGTAAGGCAAGAAAAAGCTGAAATCCCATAGATATTACATTTAGAGCCGTGTTTTTGTGGAAGTGTGTGCAATTTTCATGCTAGTGTCTTTGAGATTTAATGTCTTTACCATTTCCTTTTTCTTCATTTCTTGTGATAGACTTACTTAAAAATAATAGAAATAGTTGGGCCAGTTAATTGGCCTTGGTGTGAGGTGTGTGAGACATTTCCAATGAAATGCAAGCATTAGATTTGAAACCAATCTTCTAGTTCTTTTTGTCCTTTCTGTGTAAGAAGGGCAGGGTGTAGGTTCTACCTGGTGCAGTTGAGTTGGCCAATGGCTCCTATTGGGTGAGAAGCAACCGCAAAAATATCAGAAGAGGAGAAACAGCAGTGCCATTCTATCCTAGGCACCCAATCCATTGCTCCTCAAACTGTGGAGAGAGGCTGGGATGGGAGTGGTAGACACTTTTTCTGCATCCAGGTAACTGCTTACACAACTGTTCAAGCCTTCTTTCTCCTTTGAAGTGTTTATTTGTGTTGGAGGACTTTCATAATCTTGTTATCCATACTGGGATTCTTTAAATGGTATTTTCCACATCCTGATAATTGTACAAATGAAACAAGACACTTACCATATGTTGGCTATCTAAAAACATTGTGAAGATACACCTTCAGATAGAGGTAATTTAAAATTTTAGAAAATATGCATAAGATCATGATATATTAAAACTGAAACATGGAACTTTTATGTCCCAAACTCAGCAGAATGGGGGAATCTTTATATGCGTTTTCTCTGATTGAAAGTCTGGGCAACACTGTACTGTAGATTGTAGGTTTCTATGAGACACTCATTTACCAAGCTGATCATTTCCATTCAACAGGAGACTCACAGCACAAAGTCTTAAGAGCCCAAACAGCGCCACCTAGGTTTGGTAAGTATAACCTTTAGTGGGCCTCCATCCCCTTGGTCCATCGGGCCACTGGACCTTTATTCTGTATCTCTCAGTGGCACCTGTAGTTTAAGGAGGTCAGCACTAGATGACCCTCGATGCCTCCCCATTTTCTTAGGTTCCCTTTCACACTTCATGTGCAAGCTGATGAAATCCTCAGAGGCATTCTGTCTTGTATTGTGATGGTTCTGACACTTCCCCTACTGATCTGTGAGATTACTGAGAGCACACAGGAGGATACACACACATCCATTCACATACAGTGACAACCTTGTTGGGGGATCGGGAAGAGCAAGGACGTTTGCAAAAGAGACAGCTCCATGCCGTCCTGCTCAGAACTGTGGACTTTGAATTCGGTGATCTGACTTGGAGTCTCAGTGAGACCCAGATTTTACACTCCTGGTTCCTGTATCGATCCTGGGTTCTTGGAAGTGGAAGGGCCGGGTTTTGCTGGGCATGGGTCACTGAGAATTCAAGGCCAGCCTTAGCTACATAGTAACTTCGAGATCAGCCTGAACTGCATAGACTCTGTCTCAATCAATCAATCAGTCAATCAATCAATGAAAAGCCAGGCATGGTGGTGCATGCCTATAATCCCAGTACCTCAAGAGGCTGAAGCAGGAGGACTACAAGTTCCAGTGGAGCCTGGCCAATTTGGGGACTTAATGAGGCCCTATTTCATGGTGAAAAAAATGAAAAAAGGAGCCAGAAGTGTAGTTCAATGCAGAGGCCCTGGATTCATCTCCCAATACAGAAAGAGGGAGACCAAGTGAGAGAGAAAGACTGTTGCCAAAAATTCACCCATTGTTATCAAAATATATTTATGACACAGTTACACATGACCATTTTATTTAAACTCCATGTAGTTTACAAAAAAGGCTTTAATGCAGTGAGTAATTCTTGACCCATGCTACTTCTGTGGATTCTAACTTCATTCTTTGGGAACACATAAGGTGAATACTTCTGCGTTCTTCGTAAATGAGCTAGGAGAACAGTCACTGCAGGACGCCTCAGCCAGTTGGCCATCAGTGGAGACAGCAGTGCTTACCTTAGTGGGGTGATGTGGGAGTTAGAGGGTGACACATACCGCATACCCCCTCTGGCTGGCGGCCCTGGGATTAGACATCTGAAGCCAGCCGCATGCCTGGCATAGTTCTCACCTTCTCCCTTACATATGGGGCTCTGCTGGCACCAATCCTACAATACGTTTCTTCTTATCACTTAGAACAGCAGGGAGCTACAGCACAGAGTGGTGAAATAATTCATCCCAGTTCACATGGCTGGCTCCACACACTGTTGTTGTGGAGAACTGTTGTTATAATCAATACCTGCATCGTTATCAATACCTGCAGTTCAGTGAGGTCCGGAGCTTCCCTCCAGTGCTCGTGGAGAATCCACAAAGGGCGTCATCTTTCTCATAAAGACAGCTGCGTTGGGTCTAATGGATGTCTGGACCTTCACAGTGCTGCGGTGCCAGTTTTGCTCAGTAGGATTCTATCTAAACTAATTAGCTGCATGTGGAAAGGCGGAGTGCCTCTCCCTGCTGGCTGGCCCTATGGGAGCCCACTGACTGTCAGCCTAGGCGCTTGCTTAGGGGATTGGAATGGAGGTGCTGTGTGCAGGAGTCACGCTGGGTGGGTGGGCAGTGAGACAGGACCAGTGAGAGCACTTTGAAAGGAGAGCAGGGCCAGTGTTCCTGGAGGCCTTGCAGAGGTGGGAGGGGTGGCTGGAGAGGCACAGGTGACACCATAGGAGATGGGGTGCGCTTGCCATGTGGGTGAGTGAGACAAAAGATACGATTTATTTATCTTTAATTTTTAAACAGGTGTTTTGGACACTTTTGGAAGATTCCAACAAGAAATCATACGGTGTTCCAGGCACTGAGATGGAGCCTCAGGACCAAAGACGCCCTGAGCCACCCCCTCATCCCTGTGAGTACAGAGTGGGATTTCTCTGGGTCTCTAGCCTCGTTCAACATCCTGTGTTCCTGGAGTTGGAAAGTGTCAGAGTGAACCAGTGTGTGGGAGGGATGGGAGTGGGCAGTGGGTGGGCTATGGGTGAATCTGGGTCAGACACAGGAAACTCAGGAGTTTGTCCCATCTCAGAGAGGACAGCTGTGCATAGATAGGTGAAAGTTTATCCTTCCTTCACATCTACACTTAGCAGAAAGTTCTGAGGAAATGCTGACACTGTTCATTACGTTTTCCCTGCGATGTGAACAAGCCAGTGTGGGCTTCCCTTTTCAGGGCTTCCCTGTTGCGTGGGCATGCTTCGGGCAGCAGGTTGATGTGGGTTAAGAAACTACTCGATGTGTATTTGCCTCACGGGGCTCCGTCCCTGGGGACCCTGTGTTTTGTGCGCAGACCTCTTTGTGTCAGCATTAACAAAAGGACAGGATCCTGGCTTGGTTTCCAGGGTGGGATTGCAGCTCTGGTTCACCCCTATGCCTAGCGTGTTTATTAGCAGAAACTCATCAGGGATCATAGAGCCAGGCTTGAGGGTGCAGAGGGTAACAGATCTCGGAGGGCACCTTCAGAGAACTCATCAGGAACTCAGACCTCTGAGTATACGCCTAGGGTTAATGTGTTCTATTACTTTTAGTAGATGCTCGGTATAATCTTAGCAGCGCTACTCGAGTGTTGTAATTTTTCTACTTGCTTCCCAGCCCTTGTTATAATGAAATTTAATTATCTATCATCTATCATCTTGAAAGTTGATGCCTAGTGGATTTCTCATTGCAGCTTTCCTTGTTAGTTCCCTAATGATTGTGCCAAACATACGTTCTCTTTATAACAGCCTTGTTGAGATATAACTCACACACCTCACATTTTACCCATTTCAGGTGTACAATTCATTGAGTTTATACTTGTGTCCTCCTACCAGTATCAATTTTAGACCTTTTTCTTTGCTCCCAAAAGAATTCCACTCTGCACCATGTAGATACCCCTCCCCACCAGCCTCAGGAAACCTCTGACATACTTCCTATCTCTGTAGATTTGCCTCTTCTAGACATTTTATATAAATAACATCATAGATGTTGTTTTAGTCCATTTTTCTTATTGCTGAGACACAATACCTGATGCCCAAAGTTAAAGGAGGAGAGGTTTATTTGGCTCACAGTTTGTGGAAGTTTCCGTCCATAATCAGTTGTCTCCAGAGCAGGGCGGCACTGCCGATGGGCATCACAGAGGAGAAATTGGTCCTGGTGGGCAGAAGGCAGAAAGCAGCAAGCAGCAATCAAACGTGACAAGAACAACTTCCTTGTGTCCCTTTATACCTATATGGGTGCTACCCTAGGACAGGTAGCACTCACATCCACAACTGTGCCAACCAATCAGTGGCCTGATTTAGTAATCACAACCCTTGCTTCCAGCATCACACACCCTTGGTCCTCACACAGTTAATCCCAGTGTCACACTCTAGATCCAACCGCCAAAGCCATGGATGACTGTAAGAGGCTTTGGGGGGGACATCTTGATACAAGTCAAATGGATACAGTCTTCTGGGAGCAGCTTCTTTCACTCAGCAGAAGTTACTCAGAGTTTACGGAGACACTATGTATTGGCACCTTATTTCTTTCGATAGCTAGATGGTGTTACATTATTGTGTCTGTGACATATTTTTGTCCCCTCATCAGAGGATGGGTGTTGGTTTTGTTTCCAGTGTCTTCCTATTATGAATATGCTGTTGTGACAATTCACATGCAAACTGATTTCCATGGATGTATGTTTGTTCTTGTCTGTATCTAGGGATGGAATGGCTAGATACACACAAGATCATCTGTTTAGTCATTTGAGGAACTATCAGAAAGTTGTGTAAATTGTGCACACCCCAAACTCCCACCAGCTGTGTGTGAGGGCTCCTGCTTCTCTGTAACCTTACTAATAACATCAGTGATTCCTAATACCGGGCATCTTTTCATATGTTTATAGGCTATTGTAAATCTTTGAAGAAATGTTCGTTAAAATTCTTTGTTCATTTCTGAAAGCTGTCAGTGTCCCTTCCCCCCATTTTTGTTATTGTTATTGAGTTGTGAGAGTTCTTTACATTTTGTGGATGTAAATCCCACCACACTGCTGTTACTGAATGGAGCAGCCTCACATCAGTTACATTTGTGTTTCTGACAGTGCTATTCGATTCTCTGTCTTTCTTGGCTTTCTGTCAAGTTGTTTTGCCCATTCTTGAAAATTGGTATTGAAATTTTTTACTATGATGTAGATGTGTGATACTCTACTTTGATTTCTCTAAGCGTTCGCTTCACATGTGTAGGAGCCCTGGTGTTTGGCTCAGGTGTCTTTAACTGTTACATCTTCTGGGTTATTTGATGCTTTCCATAAGAGGAGCATTTTATTTATGAAGTCCTTTTCATTTGTTGGAACCAATATCCACTTAGCCTGTTTGTCTGATTTTAGTGTAGCTATCCCTCTTCTTTTCAATTATTGTTCCCCTGAAGTATCTGTCCCTATCTTATTAGCATATACATGTCTGTGGGCCTTTTGTAGACAACATAGAGTTGAATCCTACTTTTTCTTTTTGAATAATGCTTTCGGTCTATCTTACACACTTTAATTCTTTTGCAATGAATTAAGCAAATTATGATAGAGTAGCACTTGTTTTGCATTTTGTTTTTTGTATGCCTTGATTTTTGTGTACTTTTTTGATATGGCATGTTTTTGTTCTGTTATTTCCTTTTATGTATGTCATGCAAATACTTATTTTATTTACCAAAGGAATTAATGTATAATACCCTAAAGTTACGATAATCTCTTTCAGGTTAATATTAACTTAACTTCAATCAAATGCAAAACTTTTTACTTTACCAGTTGTACTCTACTGATTTTATATTGATGGTATCAAAAATTACGCCTTACATGTTTATGTATGCAAAAGAGCTTACGGTTATTTCTATGGTTATTGGCTTTTAAAACTTGCAGAAAATATGGAGTGCAAAGAAAAATTCAGTGGTATTAATTTTATATTTGTCCATTTATATTTATGTTTACTAGAAAATTTTTGTTTGAGCTATCTGTGAGTTATTGTCTAATGTTCTTTCATTTTATTTTGAAGGGCTCCCTTTACCATTCCTAGCAGCTCTGCTAGTCATGTGCTTCTATAGTTCCTGTTGATTTGCAAGGGTCTAATTTCCCTTTCAGGTGGGAAGGGCATTTGCGCAGGATGTAATATATAATTTTACGATGTTTCTTTGTCCTTTGGAATGCCCACCCACCGCCTTCTGGGAATCACGGTTCTCTTGAGATGCTCAGTTGATAGTCATATTGGGGAGTCTTCCTTTCTCACCTTCCAAGTGACTTTTTCTTTTGACTTTTGGTGGTTTATTTATAATGCGTCTTGGTGAGTGTCTTCGGTTTCTGTTTCTTGGAGTTAGTTCATAGATCTTACATTTGCTTATTCCTATTTCCTCAAATTTTTGAAAATTTGAGCCTCCTTTTTCTCTTCTTTTTCCCTAAATTTCAAAATTCAGGTATTGTCCACTTCATAGTATCCCATAAGTGTTTTGCTTTCTGACTATTTTACTTCTTTTTAAAAATAAAAATTGTTCCTCATATACTATGATTTTATGATTTTCCTTACTTTCACTGATGCTTTTTTTCTTGTCCAAATCTACTCTTCAGCTTCTCTAGTGATGTTGTTTTTCAGTTCAGTTACTGTACTTTACAGTTCTATACTTGTGTTTTGTTTTTTTTATATTTTTAAAATAATTTTTGTCTCCTTGTGGATATTCTCATGTGGCTCGTATAGTGTCTTCCTGATTTTATTAAGGTCTTTACCATCTTTCTCTTAAACTCTGAAAATATTTAGGGAGGTTATTTTCAAGTCTTTATTGGCATATTTGTCTTCGGAGACTGTTTGTGAACATTCCTTTGCTCCTTTGCAGGGAGCAGGCTTACCTGTTTTTGTCATGCATGTCTCTGTGTGTGTGTGATCATTTACTGAAACTTGGCATTTAGTAAATCAGCCTCTCCTCCTCATCTTTGTAGAGTGGTGCGGAAGACATTGGCCAGTTAGTGGTTCCTGCATCTTGAGTCCAGCTGGAAAAGGCTTGTGGACCTCTCAGTTCTATTCTGGGCTTGTGCCCTGTCTGAGCATCTATGGACACACTCTTCTTCTTTCCAGTTTCCCTTGGCTGGTTTTAAATGCTTCCGCTTCTCAGTGACTCTCACCCTAGCATGTTTTAGAGGTTTCAGATGCTCCACTGCTCCCCGATACCTTAGTCTGTAATCCCAGACATCTGTTGTCCTCCTCAGCTTTCACATGCTATTGTGTCTGCTGATTCTTTTGGTGGTTTCAAGACTGAGATCTAAAGTCGGTTGCCATTCCTGTGTCATCTCCCCACGACGTGCAACAAATCAGTGCCCCAGTGAGTGCACAGCCAGGCCAGAACTTCAGAAACAACTTCCATACTGCTCTTTTTGTCCCAAAGGAGGGATGAAGAATTGAGCCATTTCCTTATAACCCACGAACACAGGGAAAGTAGGGCAGGGCCGCATTAAAACATCACAGCTACCATTCTGTGTGTGGTTTTCTTTTCCTGTTTCCATGGTGGAGACAGTTGGTTTGGTTGCTTAGATACCTCACTGACTTACAGGGCTCCTGTAGGACTGTTATGGTTAGTCTGTGGTTGTTCATTTGCTGTCTCCATCGCAGATGGGTGCCTGGAGGTCCTAATCACCATCTTCCTGCATTGCTAACCTCTTGCTTGTTTTAAGGGACTGTTTTTGTGATTGAAGAGTCTGACTTCCTCAATTTTTTTGAGTTTTTAGCCAAAAGCTGTAACTGAAGCACACCCAGAGTTTTTTTCTTTTTCATGTTATCTTGCAGTTTTCGATCACTGTAACAAATATCTGGGATAATTAATACCTGGGATAGAGAAGTGCATTTTGGTGCGAAGTCTTGGGGGTTCTAGTCTGTGACC